TCCTGGTCCAGCAGGTGCAGGGGTCCGGGGCTGGGAGGCAGCAGCCTGGAGGTCTGACAGTTCCTCTGGAGGCTCAGCAGACGCTTGACCTTCCTCCTGCTGCCCGACTGCAGCGCCCCCCGCTGGACGCCGGCTGCACCACAACACAGAGCACCGTCAGCAGGTTGTCATCAACTCGTGGATTAAACCTTTAAAGCCACGACTAGTCTGTTAGAAAGCACTAATTGGCTGAAATAAACCTTCACAACTCTAAGTACGTGGACAGAAAGCCGTATATTGGGTGGAATAAACCTTTAAAACTCCAAGTACGTGGACAGAAAGCAGGATATTGGGTGGAATAAACCTTTAAAACCATTATTCGTTGGTGAAGTGGAGTAAAGGTTTGAAACTACAAGTACTTGGATGAAAAGTTTTATTCTAGGCGGTACAAACTTTAAAAACACTCGGACATGAATGAGTATCTTGGGTGAAATAAATCTTTGAACAGGAAGCAGTGCTTTGAGTGAAACAGTCAGCAGGTGGCGCTGTTGTGACGAGCTGAGGTTCTACAGCTGCAGCCTCCTCTGCAGACGTCTAGCATTACAGCAGCTGACTGAAGACCAGATACAGACGAGCAGGTGTTTCAGAGGAGACGATTAAAAACAGTTTAAATCGCATGAAGCCAAATTAGATTAAATTCAGCTCTGCTCAGAGTTCAGCGACTCAGACGATGAAATGCAGAACTTGAAAGTAAAAGTAAAAGTGCAGCGTGATGACTCAGCGGAAGCGTTAAGGACGGTGTGAAGAATGTGTTCAGATAGAAACAGTAGAATCAGGAGAACACGTCAGTATGTCCTATACATGAGTCCGGCTCCAGAGTTCAGAACCCTGTCCAGTCCGTGTCATCCTGCAGTTTCACTCTGAACACATCTGAGTTATGAACTTTTGAAATGAGTGTTTAAGTTTCTAACTTCAGCGTCTTTAAAGCTGCAACAACTGCTGATTTTTTTCTAGTGAATATTCCAGAAACCTCAAGGAAAAGTTGGAAGTTGTTGTCATGCCAACAGCTTGTGCAGATTTATTTTTTTCCAGAAATTAAAATAATAAAAATGAAACAAAATTATTAATCCAATTTGCTTATATCTATGTAAATATGTGATCGTTGACCGTGTTCTGAATGTTTACAGCTGTTTTCATTTAACGCTCAGTCAGCCAGATTCTGCTCTGAGCTGCTGTCCAGTAGTTTATCTGCTGCCGGCCATAATTAGCACAACGACACAACGAGCTTCATGATTCAACACAACAACAATCATTCCAGCTTTATGTGTTTACATGTCAGGGAGTTTGATCTACAGAATATTTGTCGTCATGGTGTTCGGTTTGACTTGTTAACACATCTACATGTATAGCATCACAATAAGAGCAGCTGAATGCACAGAGCTGAAGACCTGCTGACTGTTCAACCTGAAGACTCACTGTTGAGGACGTGCAGGTGGATCGGCGGGTACGAGCCTCGTCTCTCAGCCAGCAGCACGGCGGCACGACCAGAACTCAGTCCGCCGTCAGCTGGAAGCAACAGGAAGAGCAGGTCAACATCAGGGCTCTGAAGAGTCGACAGTTACAGAAATCCTCTTTACTGGCTGCTCCCTGGACGAGCCAGAAACAAGAGCCGACAACACGTCAGGCTTCAGCA